CCTCCCCCACCCACCCTCCTCCTCCTCCTCCTCCTCCTCCTCCTGAGTCTCAAATTTGACTGCTTTGTTTTCACAAGGAGAAAAGAAAAAAAAATTGGCATCTCGTGAACCCCACACAGCACAGCCCTTTGTCTCTGGGATATCATTAGTAGCGCTCGTTCTGCAGCCCAAAGGAAACAAAGTTTAAAACTTGGCTGGGAGAAGAATTGGTGGGGTAGGTGGGTGTGGGTGTGAGGAGGAGAGGGGCGAATTTGCAGATGGAACACCACACACACACACACACACACACACACACACGCACACGCACACACGCAAGCTACCTTTGCAACGTGTGTGTTAGCAAAAAAAATTTCACACCCGCGTTCTACTGTAAGGTCTGGAGAGGAAAGGATTTCATGCTTTCTCATCCCTCGGGTAGGATTTTCTGCTGCCAGGGAGTTCTGCAGAAAAATGAAAAACTTGAATTCAAGTCTGGAAACTTTAAAGACAGGTGATGAAATTCTTGGAAGACACGACAGGGGTTGCGAAGTATTGATATGTGGCGCATGAGTGGGATATTCGTATTAAAGGACTTTTTTTCTGTTTTTAATCTTTTAGACAACTTTTTTCTGCTTTTTGTAAACTAGCCATGTTACCCCCCCCCCCAGCAAAGGGCGTTCCTGAAAACTAGTTCCTTTAAAGGTGTGGCCCACACACTAGCTATTTTAAAGTTAATGCAAATAAGTTTTTCCTGATATAAATGCTACTATACATTTTGGAAGGATAGCTGAAGGCATAAGTGTTTTAAAATGTTTGTTTTCTCATTATTGACTATATCTTGTGATATTAAGCATTGAAAATGTAATAATACATTTTTCCAGAGTTCTAGTAAGTTTTATTCTGTATCACAATTACATCTTAATGCAGTTACTCATTAGTTAGTGCCACCAATAACTAACTCTAACTATAACCATAAGTCTGAAGACTTTTGCTGAAAGTTAGTTGTAAGTGTATGTAGCCTCTGTGATGTAGGTCTCTTTAAATTTACCTACTAATTTGAAAGGGCCAGAACCAAATAGCTGGCATTCAGGAGTGCTGAAAAATTCCTTGTAAGTGATAGATCCTGCTCTATTTGAAATGAAAGGGAAGGCCCTCTCCCCATTGCCTTTCCCCAACTGTAATAACTGAATTTAAATTTTTCATGTTATTGTATTCCAGTTAGTATACAGTAAGTATTTTCATTTTCTCTAAAAAAATCTAAGAATTACTTTTCCAGTTTCATTTTCTTAATCATCTTACAGTTAAAGAAAACACTGTATATGCTTACGGACATTTAAGTGGTCCAAATCAATAATCCTCTCCCCACCACTCAGTTAAAAAGCAAACTGTAAAAAACAGTAGTCACATATTTGTTACATGTCTGTTGCAGGCCAAATACATCAAATGCTAATGGTAAGTCAATCTCCAGCTGCCCCACCTTTCACATTTCATGCATATATGTACAGCATACATGCCTTAACTCAAGGCTCACTTCTTGATGCAAGCCCAAGGAAAAGATCCTGGCAAAGTAGTGGATAGGTTAGTCCAAATAATGTTATAGTTTCTTATTACTTAAAATGTGCAGATTAATTTTGTTACAATGATGGGTTGGTTAGTCTGTGTACTGGAACAATTTATTTGTATGCATCATGGCTTAGGAAATGTCAAATTCAGAAAATTGTACTTGCTAATTTACCATTTTACTTATTGGTATCAGTTCTTGATATAAAATGACAACTGGATTTAATTCCATATAAAATCCTTTCACATGAAAATTCTTCTTTCCTCCTATTTTTTTTGTTTGGTTTTGGTTTTTACCAAGATAGCCTCTTGCTATATAATCCAGGTGTACCTTGAATTCATTGCGAATCCTCTTGTCTCTCTGAGTGCTGGTATTGCTGGTGTGCACCACCACACCCAACTATGTCCTGGTTTTTTTTATACCTTGCTATGACTTCATCATTTGGCTTTCCAGTCTGTGACATCTTACAATTTAAATCTAAAGGGAGACAGGATTGGCTATATAATATGGTATACAGACTATAATATAGTGTAGTATATAAAGTATGCATTAATCTAAAGAAGGAATTCTCCAACTCCTCCCACTTAAGAATAACATGATTTTCAAATAAGTGAATTTTCTACCCTTTTGAAGATAATTTTTTCATTTTTAAAAAAATTTTAAGTAGTTGTACAAAGGAGTTTCAACTCAACAAGTTGGGAGTATGCGTACAATGTATCTTGATGAATGTCACTCCTTCCATTGTTCTCCATCTTTCTGAATCCCATCCTACCTTCAAGTTGCGTGGCTCCATTTGCCCACCCTTCCTCTCTCCATTTGTCCCCCCCCCCACCTCACCCCCTTATCCTGAGAAACATGTTTTAGCTTACTGGTATTCATTTCGTTAAGCTGTTCCTTAGTTTTTAAGAGGAGAATCTTGAGAACTTAAGTTTTGAGCAAACTAGTTGCTGTAAGAATTACTGTTTTGCCAGGCGCCAGTGGCTCACGCCTGTAATCCTAGCTACTCAGGAGGCTGAGATCTGAGGATCAGGGTTCAAAGCCAGCCTGGGCAGAAAAGTCTGTGAGACTCATCTCCAATTAACCAGTAGTAAACCAGTAGTGGCACTGTGGCTCAAGCAGTAGAACGCTCGCCTTGAGCTGAAGAGCGCATGGTTAGTGCCCAAGCCCAGAGTTCAAGCCCCAGGACTGATCAAAAAAAAGGAGTTACTGTTTCCTTCCATTTGCCTAGGGTGTGCTGCTAGCTGCTTTTACATGTTCTATACAACAATTGTTTGGAATATTTGGGATCACCTTAAGTGCAAAGACCAGTAAGTCCTTGATGGAGAGATTTTAAACCCTGTGTGAACCCACATGTCCTTTTCCATGCCAGTCCCATCTTCTAGCTTGGTTTGTGTACTGGCCAATTCAACAACCATGTTTTGTCTAGATAGTGATGTTTTTCACACATACAAAGTGAGCTGTGGAAGTGGAGTCATGGCTCAAGTGGTAGAGTACCAGGTTTGAGCAAAAAAGCCAAGCAAAAGTATGAGGTCCTGAGTTCATGCCTCAGTACCAACACCAAAAAAAAAAATAAGCCATATAGGTAATGTAAAATTTTCTAGTAGTTAAGAAAATAAGTTTTTTTTTTTTTTTTTGGTCCGGTCGTGGGGCCTGAACTCTGGGCCTGAGCACTGTCCCTCAGCTCAAGGCTAGCGCTCTACCACTTGAGCCAAAGCACCACTTCCAGCTTTTTTCTTTTTGCTTATGTGGTGCTGAGGAATCGAACCCAGGGCCTCAGGCTTGCAAGGCAAGCGCTCTACCACTGAGCCACCTTCCCAGCCCCGAAAATAAGTATTTTAAATAAATTTACCAAACTAATTTTTAAATTGTTACTATAAAGGTGGTATACAGAAGGGTTACTGTTAAATAAATCAGTTAATGAATATATTTCTTTTTAGACAATGTCACTCTTTCACCTCTCTCTCTCCTAGTTTTTTCCTTCCCATCTCTACCACAAGTTAAATAGTTCATTTTCAACATTGCATCAAGGGACTACCACTGCTGCGTTTGTCCACCTCAAATTAATCTTAATAATGCATCTTATTTAACCTGCTACAATTATTGAGATATTTCTCCTTTTTTATAGACTGTGCCTTTGAAATCTGGTATGTGGTATTTGTAGAGTTTGTTGATCAGTTAGCCACTTTCCAAGTGCTCTGCTGCTGTATTTGGCCTCACTCCACCCCATTGGATAGCACAGGCCTAAAGTAAAGTGTGTGTGGTTTGGGGCATGCCTGCTTATTTCTGTAAATGTCAGGTTGCTATCTATGTTGAGCGTGCACTTTCCAAAGTCTTAGAATTAAACAAGTGTTAAGGTGTCAAACAGTTCCTGGTATATAGAATTTATTTAATTTTAATCTAGCCTTCCTTTCCTTCCTTCCTTCCTTCCTTCCTTCCTTCCTTCCTTCCTTCCTTCCTTCTTTCCTTCCTTCCTTCCTTCCTTCCTTCCTTCTTCCTTCCTTCTTT